TCGTAACTCCATCTACGGTGGCTACAGCTATAAAATGTGCAAAATAATATAATATAGTATTATATCATAAATTCGACATGTCTAACAATTTACAGCTTTTTTGGCAAAAAAATATATTACAAAATCACATTCCGTTGTAATAAACATTTTGTAAATGAACAATTATAAAATAATACGAGTATGTTCAAATACATTTGTATTTATGAGTAATTTAATTGTGTTTGAATGGCGCTAGAAAAATTTAAATGCTTAAAATGAATAATTATGTGATAAAGTGTTAATTTGCATAAATATTTAAAACAGAACGCTTTGTTACGACAAATTTGTTATGGACTTATGGACTTTACTATGGTTTATCTTTATCTTATAAATTAAAGTTATTAATCCCTTATAAATAAAAAACCCGGTTAATTAGGTGTGCTTTCTCTTGTTAAATTATCACTTTCACACGCGTTTTTAGTTTAAATGCATTGGTGGTTTAACTTTGAAACTATACAATAGGAGCGTAAATAATGCCAACAATCATTATTAAATAAACTTTTTAATAAAATATTGGTGATAAATAAGCACAGAGACTATCAAATGGTAATTAAGTGGATGCAATGGTCCATGGATATCTATCATCTATGGTCAATTAAGAATAAAAATGATTCAGCTTACTAATCTGTAAGGCTATGTCGGTTACTTTGGTTTGACTGCGAATATAATAGTAACGGATTGTATCACGCAGAGAAACTCCAAGCATAGCTCTCTCCATAGCTCGCTGAGCGAGTTTAATCTTGCCTTACATCAGTTCTGGTATAGATCTCAGCTCCATATTATATCATGACTGGAAACACGTTTTGTTTGTGAACAATTTTTTAAACGTTGAGTAAAATTACAAACGTTGTGCAGCCGAGATTGATTGACCTCTTGGTCGAAGTTAAACTAGTCGGACAATTTGTTCTAGGTAAGCATATTCGTCTGCTTTAAGCGTAGTGTTCTTGCCATAGACGTTATACGAATATATTCATAGCGACACTATTGAGGTCATTGAACATAGAGTGCTAAGGTGGTTCAGCGATCCTGACATAATGACTATAGTTATCGGCAAATTGAAGGTAAGTGATGTTCTCGCCAACGATGTTAATACACTTCAAACTTCCAATGCAGTGGTGAAGTTTCGGGGATATAACTTCACACTGTCTTACACCACTTAGCAATAAGATAGTTTTCGTTTTCTGAAGCTTTATCGGATAGTCTGGAATAATTAGAATTTACTCGGATAGTTTGGAATACTTAGGATACTGTTAAAACACTTCAGCATTTAGATTTGATCTTAGACAGTCCATCTGGAATCATAAGGTTCCTACGTTCAATTACGCAGAACTGGTAGATCGCACTCTACGGTTGGTTTTGTACAATCAGTGACGAAGGTTATGTATAAGGCTGGAAGTTGTCAAATCTGCGTTCAAGACTCTTGAACAGTACGCATTTTTACCGCATATGTATTATTGGGATAGCTAATATTTTTATCAATATTCACAATTATTTTCAATTGTTTTTGGGTCACAAGTTGACACTTAGTTTTTTTTTTATAGGAGAGGGGGCAAACGAGCATGCGGCTCACCTGATGGTAAGTGACTACCGCTGCCCATGGACAACCGCAACACCAGGGGAATTGCAGATGCGTTGCAGGCCTTTTAAAAAGGAGTAGGCTCTTTTCTTGAAGGTCCCTAAGTCGTATCGATCCGGAAAATCGCTGATGGTAATCGATTCCACAAGGAAGTCGTGCGAGGAAGAAAACATCTTCTAAATCGCACAGTGGTGGACCGCCAATCATCCAGATGGTGTGGATGGTATCGGGAGTTCTGCCGCGATGTGCGTTCATGAAATTTGGCGGCTGGGATCCGAACAATTCCTCAGAGCACTCCCCATGGTAGATGCGAAAGAAAATGCAAAGAGATGCAACATCTCTTCGCAGTGCCAATGAATCGAGCCGATCGGAAAGGGCTCGGTCGTCGACGATTCGACCCGCTCTGCGCTGGAAGCGGTGGAAAGTGTGGAAAGAGGTGGAAAGTGGAAGGAAGTCAAGTCCTCGAAAGCTTATCATTACATTACATTAGGTGGTACCTAGTACAAACGTTGGACTGATAATGATTAGATAAACAAAGCAACCAATTTAAAGAACTAAAAATAGCATCATCATCATCATTATAAATGTAATATGTACAAAAAACTTCTGCATAAAAGTAACATCGAATCGGGTAGATAAGACCGTGAGTAGCCTTAACGTGTAATAGATTTTATTTTCTTTCTAGGAATCCATTTTTTTATAGGATAGGGTGACAAACGAGCACACAGTCCACCTGATGGTTAGTGGTTGCTGTGACCCATAGACATCTACTTTTATCCTCGATTACGAATCAAAATGCAGATGCGTTGTCACCCGTGAGGACTAACATAGAATGCCTCGTTTCCAGTAAAAAGGGTCCCCGGTTCTCTACACTCACCATACAAAACACAGCTGCATCAAGCAGCTATTCTCCGCTGATATTCTGTGAGAGCGTGGTTCTTCCCCGGTCGAGCCGACCCATTCGTGCTACAACTATACGAGAAATAAAGCTGCAGCATGGCTCTACCACGTAAAATGGTATCGGGAGTTCTGCCACGATGTGCGTTCGTGAAATTTGGCGGCTGGGATTAATCCGAACAATTCCTCAGAACACTCCCCGTGGTAGATGCGAAAGAAAATGCAAAGGGATGCAACATCTCTTCGCAGTGCCAATGAATCGAGCCGATCGGAAAGGACTCGGTCGTCGACGATTCGAGCCGCTCTGCGCTGGATGCGGTCAAGTGGAAGGATCTGGCACTGGGGAGCACCTGCCCAGTGATGGGAACAGTATTCCATATGAGGCCGAACCTGCGCCTTGAAAAGTTGCAGGCGGTATGCCGGCATGAAATACTGCCCTGCTCTGCTGAGCACGCCAAGCTTTTTAGAGGCCAATTTGGCCTTCTCTTCCAAGTGACCACTAAACTGCACGTCACTCGATATGTCGACTCCGAGGATTCCGATACTCTTGTCTCTATAAATGTTCCATCGGTTTTAGAGCCTTGTGGAATATTTAGAGACGATGGCAGGAGATCTGATGTTATGACATTGGTGCTTGGGAGAGCGGTAAAGCCCTAGTGTGGGATGCTACTGCGTAGACACTTTGGCGGCCTCTCTTCTCAAGGGTACTTCGTTTAGAGCCAGGACGGCATCAGAGGCAGCTGAACTGAGTAAGTAGCGCAAATATGAGTCTCAGAGAGATGACTACATATGTGTGCCATTTGCTGTAGAGGCTATCGGTCCGTGGGGTCCACGTGCGTTGAAGTTCCTATAGGAACTCTATCCGCGACTGGTCGTTACTGCTGGTGATAAAAGGGCTGGTTCTTTTCTCGCTCAAAGGCTAAGTATAGCCATACAGCGAGGAAACGCAGCCAGCGTTCTTGGCACAATACCACAGGAAGTAGGACTGCATGATAATTAAATTATTCGTTTTAGTTTTTTTTATTATAGTTTTTTTAATATGGTATATAATAAAATATTTTATATTATGTTATTTAAATAAATGTAAAATAAACGTAAAACATCTGTAATTTCTATTTTAAGCCAGCTGCATCGTATTATGTTCAGTGCTCTTAACACTCGTTTCCTCTATCTCTCTATCTCTATCATATAAGTATTGGTAATTGTTTAAATTCAGTAAATCACATATTTTTTGAAAGAATTCAAAGGACCGACTCATCAATTTCGCTCTTAAATATGGAATACTTCATTATTGATGAGGGCTTAAGTAATAACATTAAAATTAAATTTTAACTGTTATAATACCAACAATTGTTTTACATGCCATTGCCTATAATTTGCACCCTTGTTATATTTATTAATGTATTCATTATACCCGATAAAGAGTTCACAACTGCATAGCCTTTCAAACCTTATAGAGGTATTTCACCATAGTTGAGACAACTCGGCAAACTGGTAGATCTATAACCGCAGTATTTTTAAAATATTTTGAGTTTTATAAGGATGATGCTGCCTATCACCTCTTACAATACCTAATACTGTATACACGGTTACATTTTTTAATTGTTAATGTTGTTTGTTTGTTAGATTTGTTGTTTGAAACATTTTACAATTGTTGAACGTCCTAATTTCATTCCGAATAATGAAGCTTTCAACAATATCTTTTATAAAGGTTTAGTTTAGCTTACATAGTGTTGATATTTTACTATTATTTTTTAATCATAGCGCCAAACCAAACAAATAAAGAAAGACGGACCGCTGTGTATATTTCAAGTGATACAGAAACCAAGCCACCATGCTAAAGTTATTGTAACAACACGTAATTACGTACTCGTACACATCTAAAATAATTGTCAACCAACGACATGGCTTTAGGTGCGTATGTGTGCATCCAGCAGTGAAGATTTACGGGCTGATAAAGAAAGAAAGAAGAATATGTGTGCATGAGTGCGTTTTAAGAAGTTGAGCACGGTTTTAGAAACTGTTATCTTTCTTTGTTGGCCTGAGATTGGCACTTCAATCGAATGAAAACATCAAATAACTGCTTGTACGAATCTCATTTTAAATTTTTGTAATAATTATAATTAATTTCTAATATTTTGGCTTAGTTTTCAAATTTGTTCGACTTTGATTTAAAAGTTTTATAAACAAACTTTTTTTTTAAATCTAATAATAATTGGTTTTGGCTATTGTTTTTTTTTTTTTAATTTGTCACAATTTTTTAGTTTTGTTGAATTAGTTATATTTCTATCGCCTTTGTTTTATATGACTTACGAGAGTGTTGAAGCAATATTGTTTCTTTTACTTAGCTTAATATAACGAATGCTGTGATCTCCTATAATTGAAGTAGCACGCTAGTTTTAATATTTATACTGGTTTTTAAATCACATATTTTCTTCTATTGGAGTTCCATATTAAATAAATAAATAACAAAAAAGTAAACACATACCTGATACTCTCTCAGCTAGCATCCAATATTTATTGATTATTGTGGTCCAATTGCTGTCCGAATAGTAGTCATCGATGGCGATTTTCACGAAACCCGACATTTTAATTGTTTTTTTTTTTTGCACTTTTCACTTATTTTATTATAAAATATCACTAAACACTCACAACCCACTTTCAAAGTTTCGTTCAATAACACTGTAGATCCTACTACGTTGGCAATTTGCTGGAGGCAAGTTGTCACCTAAAAATAGGAAAAATTGTAGTTAAGCTCAATTTTTTTATGTAGTTCAATAGGTACATTAAATTTTCCGAAAATTTAATAATGTCACCGGTCAGTTTTTACTTAAACTTCGAAAAACAATAAAAAATATTTGCGTACCGAAAATCTGTTTCTGTGCGCAGCGTCATTATTTTAGAGTATTTTATTGATAAAAAGTCAAAGGCACATCTCTTTACGACAAACGAAAGGGAAAACCTGAGCTTTGTGTGAAAGTGCGCACGAGCCGCTATCCGAAACGGAATTGAATCTCCCGCCATAACTATGCCAATAGCGAACAACTCTCCCCACGCTTCTAGAAGGACGTAAACGTCATATATTGCATCACTTAAAATTGCGTTTTACCACTGCTGCAAAACGTATACGTTTGCGAAACTTACAACGTTAAATTTTTATATTATTTTTAAATGTTTACGAGCTCACGACAGATGTCAGGTTAATAATTTTAAAAGTATCTACACTATATTGTTTTTACATAAAATATCTATAGATAAATATTGATATTCTTATTTGTTTATTGATAAATATATTAACATATATGTTACTTTAAAATAGATTAAATAATTAATATATTAAATACATTATATAACAAAATATGTTAAATATATTATGTTACTTTAAATTATAATTTCAGAAATAAATAATACTTATATTTAAATTATTAGTTAGAATTAAATAAAAATACTCATGACCTACGTTGCAATCATCGCCGTTGATTTTATTTGCTTTAGCAGTTGGGTATAAAAGAGATTGCGAGATATCAACTTATCTGAAACGCACCCACGACCTTCGATAGTTTCTTAATTTCAAGCATATTTTATACCATCTCATCTGCATTTGAATCGTAGGCCTTAATTATGTATGTATTTAGAAATATGATATTTATAAATTAACCCTCTGAAATTATTTATTAGATAAGATTTTATTATATTATTATTTTAAGATTTTAAGCCAAGTTTAAAAAATTTGTGGATTTTAGTTTTTACGTATTGTCCTTTTTAATGTATGTAGCACAATATCTCCCTCATAAGCATTGAATGTTTTTAGAAAGATTTCGGTGAATATTTTAAAGAGTACATTCCTTGTATACCTTTTTCATGATTAGAATAGCATAAAAATTTAAATCATTTTACTTTTTATATCATACAGTTAGAAATAAAAACATGCGAGAGTGTCGTGGAACACTCGGTTGGAACGAAGTTTCTTTCGTAGTTTATTATTATTGATAAACGTAATATATAAGTGATTAACAAATACAAATAAATAAATTACGTAATACTAATACGTAATACTAATACTAATATTACGATAAAATAAATGCGTCTATTAAAATGAAGCGTCATTTACAATAAAATAATATTTCTTTCATGCCAAGATAAGAAAAAGTGCGGGGGAAATGGATATTATTCGATCTCGCTTCTATAAAGCCGCCAAAGCAGTCTAAACTACGTCAGAAGGGGTCGTGACGGAAAAATGCACCAAATCCACCAAATCCGTACCGTCCGACAAGGAACTTCGTTCCAATAAACATATGTAATTCGTAGTGAAACCATAAACAGAAAACCTGTAACTTTATTCTACATTAAAAAGGGTCAAGAATAAATCTTATAGTCTTTTAGGCCAATTTTGTGTGTGTGTGGTGTGTGTGTGTGTGTGTGTGTGTGTGTGTGTGTGTGTGTGTGTGTGTGTGTGTGTGTGTGTGTGTGTGTGTGTGTGTGTGTGTGTGTGTGTGTGTGTGTGTGTGTGTGTGTGTGTGCATGTGTGAAAACACACTTTTTGCATATTAAATTAAATGACCTGAAATTGTTTTTAGTTATTAGTAGGTCACATTACATTAAAAAGGTGTTTTACATTAAAAACTCCGCTTCACCCGCATAAATCGAAGTCAATTTATGAAATACCTAAAGTCACTTTCTCTCCTTTTATTAAATGACAACGAAAGATATAGATATAGAGATAAGTAATTTAATTTGTAATATAAAACTACTTTTACACATTTTAAATTTAAAAGTTGAGGGTGAAAAATAAATTAAAAGCAATACAATTCGTAAAAGTAGTTTTGTACAATAAGTAGTGATCGTGAAAGAAGAAATTAATATTTAGTTTAAAAAGGCAATAACCACCGACTATAACTAAGATATTTACATTACCCAAGAATTATCACTTTAAACTGAGTTGCAGTTTGTATCCATTTAAACTTATAAGTTTTAAAGTTGGCATTTTCACAGTAATAATATTTAGCAACGATACTAGTACGTAAAATTGTATTCTAAATATTCATTTAGTCATTTTTGTAAATAAATGTAACACATAAAATTATGAAGGCTATACGTATTCCTTAGCTTGATAACAAGTATGACAGTGTATAGCCTGCTCGGAAGTGTGATCTGCTGTAATGTAATCATTTAGTATCTATCCTTTTGATATATCTAACTTTGCATTTTTATTAATTTTCAATATTTAAATATTGTTAGCATTTGTTGAGATAAGTCATGTAGTGGCGGCATAAGAGAATCAACTACCCCATGTCATCCCGTGGGTGTTGTAAGGGACGATAAAGAGAAAGTGAAAAACAAGATAGGCAGCAGCATCTTCTTAAAATTAGCTCGATATAATAAAAATGCGGTTGCCAAGCGTGGCAAATATACCATATATTCCCCCTATAAGGCAATCTAAGGAGAAAGCTATGTTCAGCAGTTGACTTTTGACAGGCTGTAATAAATAATGAATAAATGAATATCTTAAGATATATCCTTCGATGCCTTTCTACGTATGAAGCACAAATATACTGTAGTTCAACGAACATCACAAAGATGGCGTTACTTGTAACTTTCACTCTTCTGTGAACTTGTTTTATGTTTCTTTCTCTCAGTCAATGTCAAGAGCTTATTAGCGCCAGCGAGAGCTTTAGAATAGAACTGTCTATTCTTTTTCTAATTTAATAGTTAAAAATAAGAGACACGAGTGTAAGATTGTAATGTCCGTATTTAATTTGATATGTTTTAGTTTTGTACTTTTATAAAAGTGAAGTGACAAGAGAACTAACAATTCACCTGATAGTAAATGTACTTGGGCTGCATAACAGCCCATATACACCTGCAATCAACTTTAAACAAAGATGATTACAGATAAGTTATAAACATTGAGGACTAAGATGAAATATCGCTCAGTTTTTAAATTAATTAAAACAAGTTTTAAATAATATTTTAAAATATGCAAAGTTATGGTATTGATATACATACATTTTAAGAAATCTACTGATATTTCCATTTACATCAAGTTAGGTTAGGTTAGTTAAAATACTTGCCTTATATTATAAAGTGTCCAGTGCTGCCCCATTACATCTGCAGTAGGACGCTTATAACACTTATTGACCCACTTTAATTCCGGTACATTTAGAATTTAGAATAAAAAAAATCTATTTCAATATTTTTTTGCATCACGCTGTACTGTACGCTAATGTTGGATGAAACAGATGATTATTTTCAGAGAGATAAGACAGCGTATTGTACTTAAAGCCATATTATATTTACTTGAAATTGTAATATTTGATTGTATTTCGGTGGTAAAGAATAAATTTAAAAAAATATTACTACAAAATGTGAGTGTGAGGCTTACATTATTTTATTAATAATAAAAATTAATAATACGTAATATTTAATATTTCCTTGACCTTCATCAAAAAGTTATCCTATTTATTGGTTAACTTTTTTTATAGAATAAGGGTGACAAACGAGCACACAGTCCACCTGATGGTAAGTGGATGCTGTAGCCCATAGACATCTACATTTATCCTCGATCAAGAATCAAAATGCAGGTTCGTTGTCACCTCTGAGGACTAAGATAGACTGCCTCATTTCCAGTAAAAAGGGTCTCAGGTTCTCTACACTCACCAAACGAAACACAGCAGCATTGAGCTGCTATTTTACGCTGGTATTCTATGAGAGCGTGGTCCTACCCCGGTAGAGCCGACCCATTCGTGCTGCAACCACAATATAGCTACAACATGGCTCTACCACGTACAAAACTCTTTATACAACAACAATATGATTTTGTTTATCAGGTTCTCTCACGATGTTTTGTTTTTACGATGGGTCTGTTAGACTGGGGTCGATATGAACGAAGACCCTTTTTAATGGTAACCAGGCATTCTATCTTATTCCTTAGGGGAAACAACACATCTGTAAAAGAACATGGTAAATAAGCGCATAAAATCCCAATTAATAATTATAAATGGTAGTGAAATTAGGAATAGAATTCAGGTTGCCTTAGAAACTAAAGGCATTAAGATTATTTTTAATTAAGGACAGATGTAGATGTCTATGAATTGTTTTCTGTCCCTTTTTTATAGAAAAAATTTGAAAAACAGTTGACCCTGCAGGCCATCCCTGGAACTTCCTGCTTTCCACAGTGTTGCGCTCAAAAATAGGCGGGAACGATTGTTTAGAAATTATTTAATGGCAATAATTTTTGAACACGTCGTTCGATTTTGACTTGCTTGATAGCATCCGAGCACTTTTTTAAGTACAAAAAATTGTTACTGATGTCAAGAGTCTATTAATCAAATATTTTGAAAGTTATTTAGATAAAAACTAAAAACAATTTTTTTCGGTTTTATTTTTTGATAATCTTTGAAACGGCTAGACAGATTGACTTTAAAATCTAATCAGCTCGAAATCTCAATGAACACTTTCGATTGATCATTCATTCTAAGGATACCGTACGACAAAATTTTATTTACAAGTCAGGAAGTCAAATATGTGGTGAGTAAGCGCTTAAATATATAACAAATGATTCAAATTAAGGGTGTAAGCGTAGTACTGT